TGCTAAATTAGGGACGGCTAGCGCAGATAGCCCTCCTGTAGCTTTGCGCGAAATTCCAAAACAAACAAACCATTTGTATTTGTTATTGAGGTTAGTTGTGACAAAGCCATGATTAGATTCCGACGAATTGGATAGCTGTTTGGAGTTCATCCATATCTATGCCTCTCCCCATACCTCCGTTTGCCTGTTATATCGACATGTATTGTACTTTGGTGTTTTCCAAGTCGTTGAGGCACCTTTAACGTTGGTTGTGGTGCGTAATCATTTTCGTGTTGTACTTTTGCAGAGGTTCTAAACTGTTTTAACTGTTAAGTTGCACAATTTTGATTGAAGACCGCGAGCTAGCTTTAATTCAGTCTATTTCTGGTTATGATTCTAGTGAGTTCTATTTATCATATCACCTACCCACACCCCCCTACATATCACCTACCCACATCCCCTTATACACGTAATGCAACGCTCCTTGTGAAAAGAGAGTTTAAACTGCTTCTGTGTTATCAGTGCTTCGAATTAATTTCCTAACTGCTGGGCATTAGAAAAGTAAGAGAGAAGAAAAAAACAACTCCAAACACAGAAACAATTAACCCAAACATAATATTTTTTCCAGATTGTTTTACACAGGTAAAAATACAGTTTAGGTTTGTTTGGTTATTCACGAGCGAACCAGGTTGTGCTTGTTATTTCATGACGATTTTTTTTTGTCATTTTGCAAAATATTTAGTATGATACAATACCAAATTAGTGGGCGGGTGATCATGGGAGGGAGCGACTATTTATTTCAAGTGCACGAAATTAATGAAAATGTCGAGTAAATCAACCGTTTTAAGATGGTAATGTTTGATACTATTGTACATAAAGGTACTTGTTTAAAATACTAAGTAACCTTCGAGACACTTATATAGAAAATACGGGGCATGACCTAGGGGTTAATGTACTCGAAATGTGAATCCGAAGATTCACGGTCTGTGTCCCGTTGCCGCAAAAAAAACGCGCTCCGCTCTTAGAGGCCGAGGGTGTGATATGTGTGACAGTCAAATCCCACCTTTCGGTAGACAAAACTTAGTTAGCCCTGCCTTTCATGTACAGATAGCTCTTTGGGCGAAATTAAAAAAAAAAACTTCCAGAAGTAAAATCGCTCTAGCTACAACGACCCAGACTGTTATCTATCAAAGTTGTTTCTGCTGATAATGCAGCTAATTTTTCGACGTATTTTTTTAACTAGTAGCTGTTAAATCACGTTTCGGTTACAATACGTTGACCAAATATTAAAATCCACAAACGAACAACGTTATTTAAACCGATCAACGGGTATGAAATTCACTCTACATGTTTCCACGTGACATTTACACATGTAGAGTGACTTTTTTTTACCCGTTGATCGGTTTAAATAACGATTTTAATTGTGAATTATAAAACGTTGTTCGTTTGTGAATTTTAATATCCTAAATATATATACACACAAGTTTCTTGAATTTTAACCTTTTAATACGTTAGTAGTATATCTAGTTTCACGTGCATTGGGCGTAGAAGGATTTGCATGCCGGACTGTGAATTTAAGTATCCATGGTTCGCGTCCCGTTCTAAAAAAAAATCCTCTTCATACCGTAGGGTCGTGGACGCTAGAGTCACTGTGCAATCCCACTGTTCTATTAGAGTAGCCCAACAGTTGGCGGTGGTTGCTGTTGACTAGTTGTTTCCCTCTAGTCGATCAGTTCAAAATAAGGGAAGGCAACTAGCCCTTCGTGCCCTACTTCAGCGTCTTCAATAAGTCAACTTTACCTTTTATGTGTGTTTGTGTGTGTGCGTGGTATTTACTTAAACTTTATGGTAAGGGTGTTTGCATTCATAATAAGTTTTTATTCTAGTTCACTGATGAAAAATAAATACATTTCCGACGTTACTTGTGACCCTGGGCCAGTCCGTTTCGTAACAACTCATTCATATTTGCATCAGGATTGTGGCTTCGCGAATGGTCCTCGTCTTGTCAGAATTCATTTTTCAGACGGTTCATCCCATCAAAAAGGATGACAATGATACACGCTTTTATAAGAACATAACGTGCATGAAGCTAATATTTCTAGATCATTAACTTTCAACGTGATCGTAAAATCTCGTGTAAAGCTATAAACGAAAAGATAGAAGCTCGTTGCCCTCGGTCTCGGGAACGTGAGTACGTCACCTGTAGGATGATGGCCATAAAAACAACCGTGAGATTTCCTGTCAAGATATTTTCAACAGGACGGATTGGAATTTGGAAGGTCAACAGTAAGGTTGTCAGTCACCGAAACACTGAGATAAGCATACTCGCTGTCACCTTTCCAGTCTTTTTAGCGGTAACCATGACAAGCAGACTTAAATGAAAAAAATAATCTATTTTTTCCTGTTTAGACAGTATGTCAGTCCAGCTTACTCATAATAATGCATCACCCTGATTCGTCCGTTTAAAACGGCTATTTTTGATACACGCTTATATTATCTATGTAAAAAGGTAATTTTTCATATACGCTTGTGATACGTCACTTATAAATAGGGAGTGAGGCATGCTGGGAATAAAAGATCTTGGTAGTGAAAATTATTTTTTTTTGTAACATATGACATTTTAATGGTGGATTTGAAGCCCCTTTTTTAATTTCCGAACGTCATAGGTTTTGGTTTTGTTGTTAAATCTGAATTAAGCCAGACATTTTTTATCCTTTCACACAAAAGGCTCTGTGTAATGAGGTAAAAGAGGAACAGGTAATACAAATGTTTTGACCAAAAATGTATGCTTCTTTTATACAGCTCTTCATAGAAAAGTAAAATATTAACGATATTTCTAACAAAGTTGTAACTCCATTAATATGCTTATAAAAGTGTGAAAATGTTTATATTAATATCTTTTCACTCAAGAATAGAATGACTTTTGGTGTTTGCGTGTGTTTCAGCTATCTTACTAAGTCTGATATTTCTCTGAATTCTAGAGGTTTTCAGCGCAGTGCTTCTTCCGAATGTTTCACATTCTCCAGAAACAGCAGGTGGCGGTGGGGTCGCTATGATGTCACTGTCTCAGGGCAACATTCTACTAACCATTGATTTCAACGGAATCCTCGCCTCCGAAGGTAAAAACTGCAAACGGTTTTAATATGTTGATGATTATAGCCATACTTCTAAATCGGAAATAATCGGCTTCACTTTATAACACGTTAAAGATACTTACAATAGCTTAACTTAGAGAGTGAACACTACCCAGAACAGATGATACTTACAATAGCTTCACTCAGAGAGTGAACACTACCCAGAACAGATGATACTTACAATATACCTTCACTTAGAGAGTGAACACTACCCAGAACAGATGATACTTACAATATACCTTCACTTAGAGAGTGAACACTACCCAAAACAATTGGTACTTACAATATACCTTCACTTAGAGAGTGAACACTACCCAAAACAAATGGTACTTACAATATAGCTTCACTTAGAGAGTGAACACTACCCAAAATAAATGGTACTTACAATATAGCTTCACTTAGAGAGTGAACACTACCCAAAACAAATGGTACTTACAATATAGCTTCACTTAGAGAGTGAACACTACCCAAAATAAATGGTACTTACAATATAGCTTCACTTAGAGAGTGAACACTACCCAGAACAAGTGATACTTACAATAGTTTCACTTCCAGACGTGCTTGGTATGCTGATTGAGAATAACGGAAAGCATATTGAACACATTCAACAGTTTTTGAAATACTTTGGGTCAAATCCTTTTCTGTATAAAACCCATGAATTATTAACTACCCCTGGTGGTATTTAGTTTCCCTAGTACAATTAGTTTTCTCGAGATAAAACTATTGTGAACGTGGAGTAAGCATGATACAATGATGCATTAGCATTATTGGTTTTATTTCAATATTTAACGAGGTTTGTGAGTATACTGGTTACACTTGAACTGCATGCAAAGTATGTTTTTTAGCAAAAGTTTTATACGTTGTTCTTACACGATGGTAATAATAATACAGGATGTCAGAAAAGTCTGGAACCACAGACACTTTAACGAATCTTACAGAATGCGTTCCACATACTGCCCTTGTAATTTGAAAAAAAAACTTGGAGACGGTATTTCCATTCTCTTTAAACACCGCGAAATATATTCGCGTCCATGGTTCGACACTCGTCACGAATTCGTTGTTTCAGATGTTCAGTGTCTCTGCTCTTCTCTTTGTACACACGTGCATTGAGCAGTTTCCGGAAAAAGAAATCCATGGGAGTCAAATCAGGAGATTTCGGGGCCTATTCCCTGAGACCACATCTGTCAATCCAGTGTCTGTCCTGGGAAGGTGTCGTTCTACCAGGCTCGGTCTTGCGATCTGCAAATCATAAATGGTTCCAGACTTTCCTGACATCCTGTAGTACATTAAAAAGTCATATAGGATTTACGGTACCAGTTTTAACTGGTGTTTTTAAGATTTTGTTCAAATTAAAAAAAACAAAAACAGAAAACTTATATCGTTTGTCTTTATGAAGATTCTCGACACGTGCCCTTCATTGTACGTCTGAAGAAACAAGATGACCAGGTTGAGGCTGGAACGATGGTCAGCCTGCAGAAAGTATACCCAGTAAGTGTTTGGTTTGTTATGAATTTCGCGCAAAGCTACACGAGAGCTATCTGCGCTAGCCGTCCCTAAGTTAGCAGTGTAAGACTAGAGGGAATGCAGCTAGTCATCACCACCCACCGTCAACTCTTGGGCTACTCTTTTACCAACGAATAGGAGGATTGCCCGTCACATTCTAATTAGGCGCCCCCACGGCTGAAAGGGCGAGAATGTTTGGTGTGACGGGGATTCGAACCCACGACCCGTAATCTGCGAGTCGAGCCACCTAATCACCTGGCCATGCCGGGCCCGCCAGTAAGTGAATGTATTCTTTAAGCAACGAACTGTACATGGCCTAGTGGTTAGCATGTTCGGATTTTGAATCTAAAGGTTCGTGGTACGAGTCGGTTTCCGCAAAAGGATACACTATAAGAGTTACAGGCAAATTCCACTATTCGGTCTGACAAGAGTTGGCGGCGTGTACTATTGAGTAACTGCCTCCCCTCTAATCTATCAGCTCAAAATATGCGGATAACTATGAATAACAATATATTTTAATAATGAGATGGGCCCCTAGCTCGAAAGGCCAGAAGAGAGAGCCCTCTCGCTTTTACGGAACTAAAACATTAGAAATTCTGAGTTCGATTCCTTGCGGTGGGCAGAGCGTAGGTGCACCATTGTTTAGGTTTGCACTAAAAAACAACATCAGTACTATTCATCAGCCTCTATCTCTTAGATACCTCCAGTACGTTCCCTGTGTACAAAGACAGGGAAAAAAACCCAAATTTTTAACTAGGATGATATTCACTGTGCTTGTGGTGGTTGTAAGATCTGGTAATCATTTTAACTGACGAGTTTGATCTTATTAAGCGCTTTAATAAACACAAAGATCTAAAACATTGATGCTTGTATTTCTCCACTAATCAGAAGCTCGATCAAATTGTCGTAAGCCAATGATAAGCTCGATCACATTGTCGTAAGCCAATGATAAGCTCGATCACATTATTGGAAGTCACATCGTTATAGCAACAGGGACAACTTGATCCTTCATATAGAGGAAATAGAACATTACGCTATTACCACCATAGTGAATAAGAACACTTAAATATAATATCTAAAAGATAAAAAAAAGTATCCGTTATATAACAAACAATACTTTATAATTAGGTCATATGTACGAAGCCAGCGATAAGTTTAGTCACATCGTCGTAATCTGAGTTCGAATTGTAATACTAAACTCGTCGATGAAATAAAATAACACGTTACTATTTATTACTCTGAACGCCACCTAGGCTAAAACTCTAACAACAAATTCTTTTTTTTTCTTTTTTTTTTACAGCTGTCCTATTTTAGATCTAACGGTAAAAGTAAGTCTACCTGCACTTTTCACCTTTGAAAATGTCTTACTGAGATATTTTGGGCAAAGAATAAGCGTGGATGAAACGTGTAGCCTAAATGAACATACCTGTTCGTAGTTAAATATAGCCTCTCCAGTAATGTATACAGGGTTTGCTGCCTTAAGAACTTTACGTATTATTATCTTAGGAAAAGAAAAACTGACTGTTTTGTGTATTGTATAATTAATGTTTTAAATTTCTAATTTTGATGTCTGGATAATAGTTGTATACATTAAGAATTTAGTTTGAGTTCAATAAAATCTGACTACTAAAAGCTTTTAATCTCCAATAAAAGTTGAGTTGTTATTTAACTCTGCTTTGATGTTGGTCTTTATGTTGTAACGAGACTTGTAATCTTTTGTGTTACGAGAGACGAGTGTTTGTTTTTCAAACGATAAAGAAAGTTAAAAAAAAATTTATTTTAGTCTATTTCACACCAAGATTAGTGTTATTCTAATTCCCACCAAGATTAGTATTTTACTCCATTTCACACCAAGATTAGTGTTATTCTAATTCCCACCAAGATTAGTATTTTACTCCATTTCACATCGTTATTAGTGTGCTGCTTTACTTCACATCATTATTAGTATTATTCTAATTCACACCATTATTAGTGTTATACTAATTCACACCATTACTATTGTTATACTAATTCACACCAAGATTAGTGTTTTACTCCATTTCACATCGTTATTAGTGTGCTGCTTTACTTCACATCATTATTAGTATTATTCTAATTTACACCATTATTAGTGTTATACTTATTCACACTATGATTAGTGTTCTACTCTAATTCACACCATTATTAGTGTTATACTAATTCACACTATGATTAGTGTTCTACTCTAATTCACACCATTATTAGTGTTATACTAATTCACACTATGATTAGTGTTCTACTCTAATTCACATCGGAAATAGTGTGTTGCTTTGAATGTGTTTTCACTGTTAATTTTTCTGTGTGGGTTAGTCAACCTCAATGTTTTAATATTGCCTTTAATCTGCACCTAGGACCTAAACACAATTGATGTAAAATTTGACGTCACTTCCGCCCAGGAGCTCCTTTTGTCTCAAAACGGGCTGTTTCTTGAAATATCATCCGAAGACGGGACAAGAGCCCTTTCTGGACCAATATTACCCAAGACTACGTGTAACGGTAATTATCAGCTAGGTGGTTTTCACACTGAGTCAGGTAGTTGATGAAACAAAGGTGAGAATAGGGGCTAATACCCCCCCCCCCAGACGGTAATTATCAGCTAGGTGGTTTTCACACTGAGTCAGGTAGTTGATGAAACAAAGGTGAGAATAGGGGCTAATACCCCCCCCCCCAGACGGTAATTATCAGCTAGGTGGTTTTCACACTGAGTCAGGTAGTTGATGAAACAAAGGTGAGAATAGGGGCTAATACCCCCCCCCCCAG